GTGGAGAACTTATGGTGTAACCCCAGGCTGATATAAGTTTTGGGGATGATACTGGGAAGAGAATTCTATTCACTGTTAAGGATCAATTAAGTTTGCTTTGTGGTTACATATTTGCCATGAAGATAGAGTTCTAGAGTCCTAAACAGGTAAATCATTTGTATAACTGGTTGAAAAGGCACTTGAAAAGTAGTGTCATTTTATTGCTATTGGGATAAAGAGTGTTTATTTACTGTATTTACTTGAATGTACAATGAGGTATGTTCCCCCATCAGCAAGGGGGAAAAGGCCTTTGTCTCTGATTTGTGTACCGGGGATGGGAGGAGCAGCAGCTACTGTGGCTCTGATTCTGGGTTGAGGCCAGAGTCAGAGCCACAGCAGGTGACTCCCCCCCCAGCTTTACTTTCAGGTGCAGCTTGGCTCTACCTTAGGCTGCGTTTACTCCTGGGCACAGAGCAAGTAGAAACTGTCTCCTGCTGGCCAATTAGCATGGTGAAACTTCTGCATGGCCCAGCAGTGGCTGTGCTTTCCTGTACCATGTTCCAGGAGAGTATGGAGCCCCAGTAGCATCTGACAGTACAGGGGGGGAAGATGCAGAGACTGGGGGGAGGGGGAAGAGGCAGAGCGCATAGAGGGGAGAGGGTCTAGCTGCTTGACCTGCCCCCAGCCACTACTTTCCCTGCTGTAGCAGTGGGGGATGAAAGTTCAGGACAGCCCTCTGATAATTAGGTTCTGAACCTGGAAAATTATAGCATTTATGTTTTCCATATATAGAATCTAATTATTGGGAAGGTAGTCTTAAATTCAGGGTCATCTTAGATGCAGATAAATTATTTATTTGATTTATAGTCCCAGAGAAAAAAAATATAACTCCGATAATCAGGTGTTGGCTAGCTTTTAAGCCTATAAATTTGCCCAAACTGGAAACAAGTCAGTAGTGTTCTTACGTATTCAAAATATAAAGAATTGAGCAAACAACTTGTAATTACTTGTTTCTCAGGTCAGTTTTTAACAAATACAGAAGCACTGAAAAATTGCATATTTTTGTGTAAGTTTGAAAAGAAGTATTATCCTCTGCAATATGTTGACCCCAGCTATAACTTAGGAGTCCCATCTATATTTCTCATCTTTAGACAGAGTTATTATAAGGACAGCTCCTCTGGCTGGTATCTTTTTTTTCATCAGTTGCAATTGAAGAGGCTTGTCTGTTAAGCATTTATCTACTCCATTTCATTCTCTGGAATAAATTCACCGAGGTTGTGTGATGCAACTGTTTAATGTATGTAAGGATTTTTTTTGTTGTAACTTTAAATGATGCGTGATATGTTTTCCCTGTCAGCTTTTGCAGAACACTTAGCTGGAGAAGGCAAAGAGTAACACTGATAATTGTGGTCGGTTGTTTCATGTTATATGTTGAAAGTGGTTTCTTTTTCTTTTT